ATGAAGGTGAGAGGTTCCCGTGACTGTCGTGCAAGTTGCTTTTATTGCCTACGAGTCCCGTAAAAAATTCATTTATTCCTTTCAATAAATTAAATTGGTATTTTACGCCATTGTTGTATGCTCTCATTAACTGTATTTTGATCTAAAGATTTGTCAGAAAATTCGCCAACAAAGACCAGTCTCCGATTACCATCGTTTGCTGACTTCAGTATTACCGAGGTAGCTGAACAGTTGACTTATCAGGACAAGGTACGAATTATTTATTCACACACGTATGCATACCATTTGAACGTTATATGTTAAAATCGGACTCAAAAAATCTATATTGACGAAATTATTCTCTGAAAACTGACTACAGCTCACTATGGGTGTCCCTAATATTTCTCCTTTTATACATCACTATAATTTGCCGCATCGCTCTTAACTCCAGACCTACTTATAATTTATTGCCGCTTAATCTAATTTTGAAATTTAATATTCTCAAACCCTTACAGGTTCTCTTCTCTAATGTATATCCCCCGGATTGCCTCAACTATGTTCGCCAACGTCCTGCGCCGACTGTTGAACCGACTATAAAACAATTTAATCAGGTTTATCGTCTTGTCATTACAACGATACTTGAGCCGCATGTGAACTCACAAAGCTCCTCCTTATTCGACAATCCAGCCCTCGCTTCTACGTTGCCCCCTACGTCTGCATCAGTCCCCCCTATGGGCACTAACTTCAGACACGGAGAATCAGTGCCACCCCTGGCAATAAAAACAGCAGTTGGCGACTTCATTCAATTGCCTTCACTCAATTCTCAGCAGCAAGACTCAGGTCTGATGCAACGCACCGATCGTATCGCAAAGTGGGTGTCCGTCACTGCGGTGCGTTTGCTCCCTCTTCATTTTTATGTCCTTTCTCAGCATATTTATTGATCCTTATCGTATTCTCCTTCTTTTCTTCTACACTTTCTTCTACGCCATCATCTACCTGTTTAGTCTTCTCTCGCTTTAACTTTCTTCCTCAAGCTTTCTTCGCTTCCTCTTCTCACCAGTCTTCGCTTCATACTTCCATTATCTCTCTCTCAAGCCCCTTTTATTTTCTTTCTAAGTTCATCTCCTTTTTACCTTGTACTAAATTGCCCATCTTTAAATTATTATCCATATTTTACCTTTTCGCTCTTTATCTCATTTCCCTGCCTCTGTTATATTTCTCTTTATTGACCATCTGAAGCAATTCAAGCCTACCAATTTGTTATTTCCCATAAGTT